AAAGAAGCCCCTGCTGGGCATCCTGATGGAGAGATTCTGTCATAACACTAGTGCGTACCCATACTTCTTTTTATTTAAGTTATCAGAGAAATATTGAGTCATCACATCGGCACAGTAACACAGCTTTATCTATATTCAGTTATTAACAATCCCAGCTGCGTTGCTTGTTGGAACTCTGCATTTTTATCTACAGTGGAAATCATAACTCTGACATCCGACTCTGTTATAATTAGAGAGCTAGATTTGGGGGTTTTTTCACCTGTCAGCTGGTTTCCTGTGGCTGCCTTTTCACCAGCTCACTAATTAGGTGTTGTCAATGAAACAGAGGCACATTTAAATATATGAATCATTGATATTGTCTCTTGTGAGATTAGTTGTCAGTATGAAGACATATTATTTATAGCCATGTAAATCATACTATACAGTATCTGCAGAATGATGTGGTTCAGTGAAATGACACGACTGGGATAAAATGTTTCCGGGGCTTATTTATCAGGTATAATGTGTATGAAATGGTAAAGAAAAGCTCGATGTGAGGAAGAAGAACTCCTAGCTAAAACCTAAAAGCTCAAGTAAAATCTTTCACATCTTATAAATCATCTACATATTAAAATATAATGCCCGCCACAACTACTGCATAACTGCTGTAACTTCTATGTTTGTAATTCAATTTATCGACTTACTCCCTACAGAGGTTTCAGCCAGCTTTAAGTCAGAAACATCAGTCACTTATGTCTTCAAGGAGCAGATGGTGAACGAGCTGAACAGGAGCAGCAGTGGCAGCAGCTCCTTCCCCTCCTCCATCTACTCTGACATAACCCTAAAAGCAGAAAACGTGTCCCTGAGCTTCAGGACCAGCCAGAGTCCTGCTCTGCTCCTGTACGTCAGCTCCTACCACAGAGAGTACTTTGCTGTGCTGCTCAGCAAGCCAGGTGAGCACTGAGATCCTCTCTGTATTTTTAATAAGGAAAGTGTTCTTGCATCAAATACTTTGACTTGGCCGTTATAAAATAACCATGACCTTTTGTTGCTTATATTTATAAGTTGTAACAGTGGTGTTGTAGCACAAGGCAAAAATTGAAGCATCAGTTTCCTGTTTTTAGCTCGCAGGAGTGGCACCCATGGTCGTCTGCTGCTGTAGCCCATATGATTCAGGGTTCGAGTTGTTATTTGTGTTACTGTTGCCTTACTATCAGCTCGATCTGTCTGTCTATTCTCCTCTGACATCAACCAGATGTTTTCAGTATTTACTCTTTTTTTTTAGACCGTCTCTGTAAATCCTAGAGATGATTGTATGGGGAAAATCCCAGTAAATCACCTGCTTCTTAACCAGTAAGCTTCAGAACCAGCCCGGACAGTCTCATTCAAAGTCATTTAAATCTCTTTCCTTCCCTGTTTTAATGCTCAGTTTCATCAAAATGAAGACATGGTCATGGTCAATGGGCCTCCATGTTGCTACCATGTGATTGGCTGATTGCGTATTTGCCTTAGTGAGCAGTTGAACAGGTGTACCTAAAAAAAATGAGGAGTGTTATGAATGAAAAGTTTTTTCAGTCTTATCAAAATAACAGGTTTGGTGTTTCTGTAATAGGCATGTAATAGTGAATGACATCAAAATCAAGAATTCAGGCAATGAAGGCCTCATCCATAACTTCAACTCTTCTCCGTTTGTCATCCTTCTGTTTTTTAATACAACAAGTCTTCCTGCCCTCACTCACTTTCTTTTTCCTATCATCAAGTTCTCCTCTTCTCTATTCCTGTTCACTTCTGTGTTTAATCAACTCGCTGTGAGTTCAGCCAAAAAAGAGACAAGAGGGGCCCATCTGAGTTGGAAAGGACAAAGAAGGCTGATAGACCTATTGAAAGTGGGATACCACCTAAATTAGCTGTAAATAGA